GACGGAGAGGAATCCACTGTCACACACAGCAGTGACACGGGCACACGCAGTCACATGGGGACACCACAAGGGAACTCACAGCAGATGATCGCTCGACGGCATCGCAGCCGAAACACGGGGTCGAGCCCAGAGAATTTCACAAGGCACTCAAGCCAATCAATCACTCTCTTTTCTTGAGATCGAAAGTTAATGGAGGTTCCAGGAGAGAACATCAGAGCAGGAACAGGATATCCCCGTCCCCACAGTGCGACTGTTCCCGCCAGAGCCCACAGACCACACTCATTCCCCAGCACAAGTCCTGAACTGGAAGACAAGAACCGGGGCAAACCAGTAAGTTACTGCTGATCACTACTTAATAAACTTCAAGGTTTAACGGACAACCTGCGGATCTCCTGTTTTCAGTTTTTATATCGTTGTTTTTGAGTCAAACATCCAGAACACCCTTTCATAACGCATCTGTATACCCTGTTCTCACATTTCTTTGGTTTAGTTTCTGCTCACTTCCCCTGGAGTGAAACACCTCCGAAATAAGTGTTTATAAAACTTTCATTTCTCTTTACCTGAAGTCAAATAAACCTGCAAGAACACGTCATCCATACAGAGCTTCAGCACAGCGTATTTCCTGTCACTTATTTTAATACTGTATTACAGTATTTGAGGTGTCATCTGAACCGAAGCAAACCTCGAAAACACGTTTTTACAACATTGTCGATTTTAGCAGTGGTGATGCAAACCTCCAATATAGACGGTTTGAAAACGTTGTCTCTGTTCAGCGGAAGTGCAGCAAATGTGTCAATCTGTTTTTAGTTCATTTATTGATCAAACTGTTTCTATCAGCCCTGGATCTGACATAAGCCGCAGCGAAACCGGAGCCACTTCGACACACCGGTATCCTACAATTTCTTTAAAAAAACACTTGATATTTACTTCAGGAGGAGGAAATACAAATATCAACTAAACAAGCCAGCTAGTCAAAGAAACAGCACATTTAAACCAACAGAACTACAATTTCACTCAAAATGTCAGACACCAACTGAAATTAAAGTGGCCTTCGAGATCAGTTCAGTGTGCTCAATAATAAACTTTTACCAACAGACCCCCAATTTCGCCACAAACACATGGAGCTTTTGTCTGTGCAGGTGACGATTCTGTCATCAGGAGGGAGGGCCACAGCAGTACAGCAGAGAGAGCCATCACTGTTACCCACATACTCTCACACCGGTCCCATGTAGAACTGCTGAATTAAACTGTCTGGTGAAGAGACGCGTCTGAGACTTCTCATGATCAGGACAGGTCACGGTAAACATGCAGAAAGTGATGGTGAATTCTCGTTTCGCCTGTGTCTTATTTACTCGTTGTCAAACATACCAGTCTGTGTTATTGTGCGTTTTGAAAAGTGGTTGTCGATTTCTTTAAATGTTCCATACAAAAATGCTATCTGGAGAGTAACTAATTAGATATTCCCCTTGACTGAGGATGTGTACAGTCATCCATCAGGACTGGTACATTTAAAAATGACTGGACAGAGAGCCACCTACAGGCGAAAGGCCACATCACAGCAGCAACGTGTGAACAATAAGACTTTTACACCCAAAAACCACTATCTCCACAACCCCATAAGCACAATGATAAAGAGACTTTTACACAATTTCACCACAAACCCCACGAGCTCAATCATAGACACTTTTACACAATTTCACCACAAACCCCCAAGTTCTATGAAAGACAATTTTACGCAATTTCACCTCAAAACCCCGAGCTCAATGATAGACACTTTTACACAATTTCACCACAAACCCCCAAGTTCTATGAAAGACAATTTTATGCAATTTCACCTCAAACACCCCGAGCTCAACGATAAAAAGACACATTTTACACAATTTCACCACAAAGCCCCCGAGATCTATGATAGACAATTATATGCAATTTCACCTCAAACCCCCCGAGCTCAATGATAAAAAGACACTTTTACACAACTTTACCACAAACCCCCCGAGCACAATGATAAAAAGACACTTTTACACAATTTCACCACAAAGCCCGCAAGTTCTATGATAGACACTTTTACACAATTTCACCTCAAACCCCCCGAGCTCATTGATAGACACTTTCACCTCAAACAGCCCGAGCTCAATAAAAGACACTTTTACACAAATTCACCACAAACCCCTGGAGCACAATAATAAAGACACTTTTACACAATTTTACCTCAAACACCCTGAAATGATAAAAAGACACTTTAATATCACAACTTACCTTGGTGGTGGTGGAGGGGAGTCCTCATATTCTGTAAAGCACGTTGAGTGGAGTGTCCAGAAAAGCGCTGTGTAAGCAATTATTAATTTTACACAATTTCACCTCACACCCACAAAGCTCAATGATAAGACACTTTCACACAATTTATCCACAAACCCCCCGAGCTCAACGATAAAAAGTATTTTACAGAATTATACCTCAATGATTAACAGACACTTTTACACAATTTTACCTCAAACACCCCGAGCTCAATGATAAAAATACACTTTTACAAAAATTCACCACAAACCCCTCGAGCTCAATGATAAAAAGACACTTTTACACAATTTGACCACAATCCCATCGAGCACAATGAGAAAGAGACACTTTTACAAAAATTCACCACAAACCCCTCGAGCTCAATGATAAAAAGACACTTTTACACAATTAGACCACAATCCCATCGAGCACAATGAGAAAAAGACACTTTTACACAATTTCACCACAAAGCCCCCGAGCTCAATGATAAGACCCTTTCACACAATTTCACCACAAACCCCCCGAGCTCAATGATAAAAAGACTTTTACACAATTTCACCACAAACCCGCCAGCTCAATGATAAAAATACACATTTGCACAATTCCACCTCAAGCCCCCCGAGCACAATGAAAAAAGATAATTTTACACAATTTCACCTCAAACCCCCAACCTCAATGATAATAACACATGTACACAATGATAAAAAGACTTTTACACAACTTTATCACAAACCCCCCGAGCTCAATGACAGACACTTTTACACAATTTCACCACAAACCCGTCAAGATCAATGATACAGACACTTTTTACACAATTTTACCTGAAACCCACCAAGCTCAAAGATAAAAAGACTTTTATACAGTTTTACCTCAAACACATCGAGCTCAATGATAAAAAGACACTTTATACAATCTGACCTCAAACCCGTCAAGCTCAATGACAAAGACACTTTTTACACAATTTGACCTCAAACCCATCAAGCTCAATGACACTTTTACACAATTTCACCACAAAGCCCCCGAGCTCAATGATAGACACTTTTTCACAATTTCACCTTAACCCCCCCCCGTGCACAATGAAAAAAGACACTTTTACACAATTTCAAAACAAACCCCCCAAAGCTCATTGATAAAAAGAAACTTTTACACAATTTTACCTCATTGATAGACACTTTTACACGATTTCACCTCAAACAGCCCGAGCTCAATAAACGACTTTTACACAATTTCACCTCAAACCCCCCAAATTCAATGATAGACACTTTTACATAATTTCACCACAAACCCCCTGAGCTTAATGATAAAGACTTTTACACAACTTTACCTTAACCCCCCGAGCACAATGATAAAAAGACACTATTACAATAAGACACTTTTATCTCAAACCCCCTGAGCTCAATGATAAACAGACACTTTTACACAATTTCACCACAAACCCGCCGAGCTCAATGATAAAAAGACACTTTTACACAATTTCATCAAAAACCCCTCGAGCTCAATGATAGACACTTTTAAACAATTTTACCTCAAACTCGTCGAGATCGATGATACAGACGCTTTTCCACAATTTTACAATGATAGACA